TTAGCAGGTGTTTTCTGTTTACGATTCGTTTAGTTTTCGGGGATATAATCACCATGACTCATTTTTTTGAACGAGCTCCAGGCTGTATCCGAAAAACTCGAAATTTGATATTTCGAATCCGTAAACTTTCACTTGCTTTATACAATTATTGCTAACTCATAGTACCGTCTTGGTAGTCTCAAATTTCGAATAATTTTGATGTTTGATGGATTGTGGCTGATGTAGGCCTGCCAAAGTCCGATGATTTTTCTGAAAAGCCTTTTAAAAAATTACGATTTAAGAAAAAGAAAGTTGTGCTGTATTTTATGAAATTTGCTCTATCTAGTCGTTACTTGAACTTCTTCTGAGGGTTAATATGAAAGTTATAAAAAATTGTGAAACTTGACCTCAGCTCGAAGTTTGCAAAAAATATCAAAGCAACAACAGTGGATAATTCTGAACACAGATAATGTATTCGTAATCAGCGTACTCGCTGCTTTGCTGTACCAGCCACCGCTCAAGTGGAGTGCGCCAAAATGGATGAAATCAATAAAAGCAACGTACAGTTTTTCAGACGGTTGCCTTATTTGTAAACAGCATGCTCAGTTACCAATTCGTACAAAGCTGCTCGCTTACCACTTGGTCAACTTCCGCCGCCTCAGATTGAAATTGCAGCAGTTAATCAATAAAAACTGATTTTACTTATTTATTTAATTATTTAATACATTACTATAGTGTAATGTGCTAGATAGTACAGTCGCTAAAATAGAAATGATGCATAATACATACGAAGAAATATGTACAGATGATTCTCCTTCATTTTCACATCACTAAATCTTCTGCTTAAGAATCAAACAAGGTTGAAAAGTTTCGGTTATAGTGAATCAATTCGAAAAGGTGGTATGTTAGTATGCGAAGTTATCTGCGCATAGAAATTCTCTCAAACATTATCAAAAGCTTCGATCGCACGCATGAAAAGTGAATAGTAGGATGTATGCCCAAAATAACGGAGCATGATGGGTACCCTAGTGCGAGTAACAGATCACTTTCGAATGGCACGCTTTGGTGGTAGTACCTAGGCGACATGGCAATTCCACTCGTACCTAGGCGTTCAATACACTACCGACCGCCTCCACTTCCTCCGTGTTTGAGCATATGAATGTAGCATGCAAGATAAAAGCTTTTAATAATGTAAAGATGCGGCATATTTAACAAAAGTAGAACGGGTAGGTATTCATGTAATTCACGTAAATACTCAATAATGATTTTGTTCCGGCAGGAGATTTGTAGCAATGCGAAATAGAAAGCTAGATAAATATCAAAGAAATTTTATATTACAAATAAACTTAGTTTCTCAATCAAGAAACTAGCATAGGATTGAAAAAGACAGAGCGTTTTAGCAGAAAAATTTAGAACTGCAGCATATTTGAGAAGGTGTACAAAAATGTATCTGAAAAGTCAGCCATTGTTGTAAAATTTCTTTGAAGATAGAATGGTAGATAGATTCAGCTCGCCAAAAATCTGAAAGAAGTAAAACAGGGAGGGAAGAATTAAAGTAAGAAGCTTCTCTTATTTGGATGGTCAGTGGGTTTTGTCTCTTGAAAAGATGATCAAGCAGACGAAGCATTATTCCATATTTTACCTAAAAAGAACAGGAGCCAGGAAAGAAGAGTAAGAGGATTGCCTTCAGAAATACTCGTTCTCATCAATCCCTATCAACGATAGTACATTGTACTTTATAAGTCTCTTTTTGAACACGACAGCGCTAGGTGCAGAGAGTACCGAGTTAGGTAGTTTCTGCAGCCAACCTGCAGTGCGTGGAAAGAAGGAGTGGAAGAATAGTTTGTTTTGAGAAGAAGTAGGGATATCAGAGTTAAAACTAAATGCACCTGTTCGACCGTAGGAGGCTTTCCATATCCAGAAGTCACTGGGTCGTAAGTTAGTCTCAAGACGAATCATTTGAAAGCCAAGGACTAAATCAGCAACTACCCTGCGATATAACAAGCTGCGAAGTTTCAATCGTTCTAATCTGCATCTATAAGATGGAAGGGCATAAGGATAATCAGAATTTGGGAAAAGTCTATAAAATAGAATACGTGTAAAAGTCATTTGAACCTTTTCCAGGGTTAGAATATCTTTTTTGAGGAAAGGACTCCAAACTTGGCTAGCGTACTCTAGATGTGGAAGAACATACGCAGTATAGAGCTTGATATAGACATCTTGATTAGCATGCTTTATATTGCGTAGCAGGAGAAACATATTGCGCGAGGCTATACGTGAGCAGTGCTCTATATGGGGTCGTAAAAGGAGTTGTTGATCTATCAATACACCGAGATCACGTACAATCACTGGTCTGGTTAGTGGGGTACTAGAGTGAACGTAATCCTCTAAGTTTATAGCATTATGTGTTCGACTAGTAATGGTCAGACAGGCACTTTTGGCAAGATTGACGTCAATGTCATTTTGTGTAGCCCAAGACAGCATATTCTGAAGGCTAGTTCTCAAAGCGTTCTTCACTTCATCTTTATTCAAGTCTGAGTAAGAGCCAAATACTTTTATGTCATCTGCGTAAGCGACCACCTTCACTTTGTTATTAGATAGGCGAGAAAGAAGGTCTCTAGTATATAGGTTAAAGAGGATGGGTGATAAAACACCACCTTGAGGTACTCCACCAGTAACAGAGTAAATCTGGGACATGGTTGAGTTTATACGCACTGAGAAAGTTCTTCCATATAAGTAAGAAGTTATCCATTTTAAAAGATCTCCATCAATTCTTGCTTCAGAGAGTTTTTTTATCAGTTTTGGAATATCTACTTTGTCAAAGGCCTTGGACAGATTAAAATACAGAATGTCAGTTTTTTGTTTGAGAGCCAAAGCTTTCTTCCAGTAAAAATCACATGCAACTAATTGTTGTGTAGTAGACGATCCATGTATGAAGCCATATTGTTCCAAGGGTATGAGGCTTTTTCTTTCACAAAAAAAAGAGAGTAGCCTTTTCTTTATGATCTTTTCTGTATTTTTACAAAGAGTCGAAGTAATACATATAGGGCGAAATTCGGTGACACGTTGTGGGCTAGTGACCTTTGGAACAGGCATTACTATGCCCTGCTTCCAGATTTTTAGAATTTCGCCCGATTTAAGGGAAAGGTTTACTATTATTGACACAGGGACTGCTAATTGATCAGCACATTTCTTGAAAACAATCTGCGGGAGAGAATCACTGGTAATGAAACAAGATGTCTTGAGTTTTTTCAGGAGTCTACTCACTTCTCAAGGAAAAGCCTGTGGGGCACATGAGTAGAAAGGTAAAGTTGATTGTTGTAACATTGTATCTGACTCTGCTGTGGGTCGAAAAACTGAAGCAAAGTGGTGGGCTAAACCTTCAGCTCTTTCTTGGTTGGTAATCAAGGGTTTTCCTGATTCATCATGTAAAATTTTGCTCACGTGTTTCTCTTTTAGAAAAAGACGGATGTATCTATGGAGTGAGGTAGGATTCATTCGAGATAAGTTTTTCTGCCTATATGCATTATATTTAGCTCTATGCTTAGACAGCTCATTAGTGATTCTTTAGTAATTATCTGATTGTAAAATATTACGGAGCGAGGTGAATAAGCGTTTTCTTTGCGCAATCAAATTTTTTATGTGCAATGGATAGTTGCAGGAATTCTCTTCCTGCTTTAATGGCACATAGCGTGTTAAGATATCATTCAGTGTATCAAGAAAACGCTGATAACGTTCATCTATTGATGACGAGTTGTCAAGTAAGGTCCACCAATTAATGGTACTCAGGATGGATGAGATAGTCGAGTAATCAGCCTTGAAATAGTCAGGGTAAGTACTCACCGTATTTATCTTATGGTAGTCATTGAGAATCATTAATCTATATATATATATAAAACTCAATGTCCGTGAGGATGTTCGTTTAGTTGTTCGTTCGTTATAGAAACGCGCGCCACTGAACCGATCCGGCTGAAACTTTGCACACGTATATTTTCAACCCCGGCGGTGGTTTAGAGCTACTTTCCGCGGCGATTTGTCGGGCCATTCTATCGATTTATTGATTTGTTTACTCAAACCTAAGAAAATGAAGAGCCATCATGGCATCCGATCATTTTTACTTATAAGCATGTAAGCATGGGCGGTAAAGTCCATTTCAGTCTTAAAGTTGGTAGGGTGCGGCAATTAGTCTGAAGGCGCTGTATGCGCATTTCAGAAGAAATCTAGAGGCGTAAGTTCACAAGTTCTGTTGGCTTAACTAACTTGAAGTCTCGGGTGAGAGTGGAGCCACCAGCTAATCTAAAATAAATGCTAGCATGATCAGAGTTACATAGAGGAGATCTGACGGTCAGATCATAAATTATGGAATTGTTACAAAGTACAAGATCGAGGATGTTATTGTTTTTTGTAGGGTAGATTACATGCTGTTGCAATGAAAGAACATCAAACAAATTGATGAATCTGGAAGCATCAGGACATAGTGGTGTCAAGGTCGACCAATCAACATTGAGGTTGAAATCACCCAGAAGCACAATGTTTTGAAAGTTACAACCAAATGTTTGTATCAAATGGATAAGTTCAGAATCATCAGAGTATGAGGATGAGGGTAAGCGATAGACTAGAACAACTGCACATTCTAACTGTAAATGAGGGTTAAAAAGTTTCAATGCTAGCACATCACTCAAAGTATATGCAGGTATAGAATCTTCGCAAAGAATCGTATCTCGAATGAAAACACAGACACTTCCCCCTCGTTTTCCTATACGATCTTTATGAAAGACAACATAAGGAAGGTTGAAGCACAACTCTGATGAATTGATTGAGGATGAGAGCCAAGATTCGGTAATACAGACAATATCAGGTTTATCAACAGCTAGAAGAAGACGAAATGAATCTATCTTATTGATGAAACTACGTGCATTTAACATCATACAATTCATTCCATTGACACCATGCATGAAATTCAGTTTAACTGAGGTGAGACTTGACTCTGACTACTGCGAATGTCTGTTATCTTGACTACTTCACCTCTGTATACCATGTATATTTTTTTGACTCAACGCTTGATTTTTCTCACGAGCCTCCTTACGCAATTCAAAGTCTCTCCTGCGTTCTTCCACCGTCTGACTGGGCCTAATGAAGATATTCTTGTACTTGTGGTTGTTCCTCAGTAACCGAGCTTTACTCAGAACAGCGAGGCAGTGGGATCTTGAGGGCAGCGTTACTTTGGTCAAACGAGGTTTGCCCTCAGTAGCTCTACCCATACGAAAAATCGCCGACGGCCTCGCCTCGACGCCCAGAACGTCTAGAATCTCAGTTACCTTCATTTCGACATCAACCTGTCTCTCAGATGGACGTTTTTCACCCGAGAGTTCAGGGATGCCATGTATCACTACGCTTTTTGGCGGAAATACTCCTCGCAAATCGAATGTGATCCGATTAGTACCGACTTTAGGGCCTGGAATGAATCCAGGACCCGTGTAGGTACGCTTATAGTTAGCGCCAAAAATGACGAAAGAGTGTTCAAGTGCGAGATTATATCAGCAGAGAGTTTTTGAATCAGCACTTGCTTTTCATTAGAGGTGTCGCCAGAAAGCCTGCTAAAGTCAGGCATAGGGGATGAAAGTTTCGACGTACCGGACTTTTTCTTCATTGAGATAGTACGATTCGAAACCATGGTAGTGAGAGAGGGATATATACTGCTGCCGCTCAGTGTGCTTGTGTGAATGAGAATCATTGAATGAAGATGAATTTTGCGATCGTTATCATTGTGCTTACTTATCCGCCTCCTCTGTGCCAACTCCGAGCTCTTCAGCCCAAAGTTCAAAAACTAAAACACATGTAGAGAAAGAGATTTTGAAAGCACGGCTATTTTCGTTTCGTAGTATGCAATTAGGTAAAATTCAATGGGTCTTGCGTGGTCTACGCTCATCTCTTCTGTGATCTGTCTGCATTCTGCAGAACAGGCAAGTGTCAAAAAAGCCAAAAATGTCCTTGTAGGAATCCGGCCAGAGCAAGTAGGCTTTGTGATTGCTGGGGAAAGTCTTCTAAATGCTTCGCAACTCAAGGAAATTTTGCAAAGTTTCTAGAGGGCTAGCTCACGCCGGGTCCTGATCGGAGACTGATACAAGGTGTGCATAGGTTTTCAAGCGTTGGAAGTTTTGCAAAGGAAAAACGAAGCCTTATTCTTTGACTGCAGTGTATGAACTTGCATATTATTGATCAAACGTCCGTACAGGTACAGTTTAAATTCCCCGTTACGATGTCGCCCAAGTGGCCGAGTTTCCGCACTCACCAGCACGATTTGCAGTGCCAAAGGCAAACCTTACCCGAGGGTGCCGCGTCTTCAGTAGACGAAGCTCGACAGGACGAAAAATAGTTACGTTAATTAGTAGCGTCATCACAGTGCTCGCTTTTAAAATTGTGATTTTTGTATTCATATTGAAACCTAATAGTTTTACAACGATGTTTTTTATGAATGGTAATCTTTGATAAAGTTTTGTTTCCCGTTATTGTGCAAAGATGTCATGAAGATCAACTGACAATAAGTTCAACATTTCAAAGCTTTACTTTGAAGAATTTCCTGCAAGCCAAAATGACTATTACTCTGATTCCCTACCGGAGAATACGCAGGCGAATTTGTGATAAGTTCCGTACCCTGGGTAGTTTCTGTCGTATGTTGCGCAGGCATAGTAACTATTATTGGGGGACCGGTCCATCACGGCTGACTGCAACGTTCCTGTTAGTCTCGTCAAAAAAGGACAAAAATTTATTATATCAGGGGCGTAACGAGAGCGAAGCAAGCGTGCTGTATAGCGTTCTTCAGGAGGCTGAAGAGGCTGGACGTTGTACGTACTCGTCAATACTTTCTCCAGAAGTTACCAACAATTTAAGAGAGAGTCATACTGTGTAGGGGAACGAAGGCAGCCACTTTGCGCCGCCTCCGCGGACTAATGGTCCTGAAACGACATGCAACAACGTTGCAAAAAAAGCAGTTGGCCGCGAAGGGCGGGTCAAACTGGCGACCTTCGTCCCCTACCGGCCGTCACTTACGGGCTCTAGCACAATACTGTATAACACGGCCACTTGATAACAAATGACATGTTTACAAGTGTCGACTGATATTACACCGTTCTGTGGAGTCATATCAGCAATCGTGCCCTGCTTTCTTCCTTATAGCAACATAAGGAACTTCCAACTTCACTATTTTGCAGTATTAGATAGGTTTTTGATATGGTTCTCTGTCAGTTCTAAAGCCGAAAAAGTACTGAAACAGTTAAATACGGTGAGCTTATGATGGCGCTTTTCAAACCCTTTCGCTACCTCTAGTTAGCCCTATAGCTTTTGTCCGTCAAGCAAAAACTGTAATACCTATTCAGTAAAGCAAAGCAAAAGCATTCGCACAAGTCTATGCATGCTCAAAATAAAAATTCAATACTTTCAAATCGAAAAGTTAGAATTTACATGAGACATTCATTGAATGCTAGATAATGTTGTTTGCAAACTGAAACAAAAATTGCTTTTCACAGACCAAAAGTAGAATTATGAGTTTTACTTTCGTAAGCGCTACTTCAAAATATTGAAAATTATCGAAAAAACTGAAAGAAACGTCATCTTCGTAATTTGCCTTGTTTTTGATTCAGTTTTTAGCCTTAAAAAGTGCAGCATTGTGTAATCACTCTGGAGGTTCGTTAAATGTGCATGAACAAATACGCATTTTTGTAAGTATGAATTCTAATTTAACTTTATTGGATGCAGTTTCGTATAAATTCTGGCCGCTATCTTATATCCTTTGCTTTGCCCTTCTCGAAGCAATGTTTTTCAAAAAGAAACAAAGACTACCTGATAAAAAAGAACCGAGATGATGGGATAGTGTGATAAAATCGTCATTCATGTAATCGTTCCCCACTTCCGCTTGCTGCTGAGAAGAAAGTGTATTGCTAATTGTAACTCACCGCGCAAAGAAGATCTTTGAACCAACGGCGAGCTTGCCATCGAAGTTCCTTCATCAATTCCAATGCATTTTCTTTTGGGATATTTCCTGTGCTGAAATTCATATATGCAAAACGGGGACGCGCTAAAAGCTACTTCAACTTCTTACATTGCTTGGTGTGGTTTCCAATGCTGAACATGATAGTAATCCCTTTTATCCCCTTTTGCCCACTCTAACTGGAGAATACAATCCAAAATGGGACTGTAGGTCTGAACAGAAGAATCTCTTGCATGTGGTATAAGCTTCCAAAAACTATCAAAATTTAGTAAGCGGTACAGTTCAACTGGGCAATTTTTCTATTTGAATCAGCGTGGAGGTCATCAAACTCGCGCAATCGGTTTTTTTTTTAGATTTGAAGCTGTGATCAAGTTCTCACCAGATTTTCATTGATTTTATTCCAGCCTGCATCCATGCAGACTTTCTGGAGTGCATCCTTGGTATCGTCCATCCATTTTTTTGCTACAAATTTTCTTCCGCCATTGCAATCTACGTAACGATCTTGAGTAAGAGCCGGAACCTGAACAGCAATCATTGGCTATCATACATTGAAGAATGCAACTTACAATAAGCAAGCAGTAGAACAACATTTCTAATTGTGTTCCCATATTTCTCTGGAGCTTTTATACAGGAAAATTTCTACAAAATTGTCACATGTAACAAAGGATGTACTACACTCGTTGTTATTCGAATGGGATCGTAATTAATAGAGTGCGTATCCGTGAACGCGGGGATGATAGCACGACTTTTAGTACGCTAGTACCGATGGCATGTACTCCAATGTAGAGCACTTCGCTACTACTGCATGGCACCCCAAACTAAGCAGTCAGTGTTCTTTTTCCAGTTTTCTGTAATACTCTCGAGATTTCCATAGTTTCTTTTCGAGGCAGAAATCTTTATTACTGCTAAAACGAGCTGAGAAAGCAGGATCATTCTACATTAACAACGTCTTAATAATTTCCGAAATGTAACAATTTAGGAATCTTCAAATAGTAGATTTATGATCTAGCATTCTTTCATGAGCAGGAACTCTAGTGACAAATCACTCAAAACTAACACTTTTTCAAAATGCAAAATCATTGCATTGAAAAACAGGTGGAAGAGAATCAAGTATGTTTAAATCATGATAAACCAATAACTTGAAAATACCACATGGCCAAAAACCCTGATGAGACAGATTGTGTCTGGCATTCCATAATGTTATTGTTGCTGTACTTTTCTCAAAGTTGCTTATTTGCAAATTTTTACAGTTGAAATAATTTCACGAATACATGATCCATTACACTGAGGTGTAGAGATCTTCTGTTGTACATGCAAAAATCATTCTTCAACGTTATAGCTTCCTTACTTAGCCTTCCGTGTTCTAAAAATTATTTGACTAATTTTATTCTAAATATGTTACTTTGTTTTTTCAAACTTGCCAAGTTATAACTCTAAGTTCGTTCAAATAGGACAAAAAACCGACACAAGAAGACGTATCCAAATGTCAAAAGATTAAAAATTTTGATGAAACTCGGACTTTTTAGGACGCGTAAGTGATTCTAGAATAAGAATGAAAGAAGCATGGACGCAAAAGCTTGATTGTTGTGTGAGCGTAGCATTTTATTAGGTTGTAAGGAAAATTCCAGGCAGTTTTGGACATTTTGTTTTCAAACTCATTTTTTTGCGTTCGGTCGAATTTCTACTGTGCATTTTTTACACTGTTTTGTAGAAGAAAGCTTAAGCTTTCTGAAGGTTTTTCATCGGTTAATCGTATATTTAATCTGTAGTCCACAGAAGGAAACCTTTTCAGAGGCAAAAATCCCAATATATTTCTTCTTGTGCCAATTTTCCGGCTAAACATGCAAATTCGCCCAATTCTCAAATGATCAGAATGAGGAGACTGTCTAATACACATCCGCAGCTGCGCTCGAAATTTGCTGCTAGCGCACAAGAATTAAAAGCTGTCAAACTTGCGACTCATTTCGCGCCGATCCTGCGTGGACCACTGCGCCTGAATGTTGGGCCCAAAAGATGAGGACCCAGACAATATTTGCAGTAATAAAAAATTTGGTTCAAGTTAAAAAATGGGGCATTTCTGGGATGTAAAAAAATGGTCAACTTTTCAAACTTTTCGCAGAAGAATTTTTGCAGCTGGCGCCCCACAGCTCTGATTTCCCCTATCACCAGCACAGTAGATTTCCATATACCTGCCCAATATGATCTCAGCCCTTTCTATGCTTAAAAAAATCATGCACAAACAGGACATTTTTCAAGTCGACCTTTTTTCACTTCTGCGCATGCTATGGCGCGTAATGTAGTGCTGAAGACCTAATAAAATGTATTGTCTTGTAGACAAGTCTTTCCTTGCAACAAAAATTCCAGCTTTCAAAAGGATCAATTCGCATAAAGTTACAGCTGTTTGAAAAGAAAATTTCGAGCGCCCGAAAACTTTCTTCCCAATGAGTCAGGAGGGAGCACGTTGCATACGGTAACGGAAATGCTCATTGATGTCATGCGAAACCTATATAAGAAAAAAAAACTAAAACTAAAACTTGCACTTTTCCTTTCAGTGTCTGTCTTTAAACTCGTACGTAAGCACGGGGTATATGTCAAGATTTTCATTGCAAGAAGGACAACTAGCGCATTTTTTAGAGTTCAATAAAGTTCTTGAAGACTTCTGTATTTTTAAGAAGATCTGCAAGGTCCTTGCCAGGGCTGTTCAACCTTCCTGAGTAGATTCAAAACATGAATGTTGGTATAATGAAGGTCAAAACCTTCAAAAAGGCAACTAACCGCACTTTTGCAAATATGATAAATTTTTCACCAAAAACCGTCAAATCAAGTGGCAACTTCAGATAGTTAGTAACCTAGAACATTTTGTCTGTTATGCTGACATTGAGGAAGCATTTGTTAGAGATTCAACTCAGATTTACAATGTGAAGCGATTCCTCAATCGGTCTTCATTACTGTAAAATTAGTGTATGAACGTCCATTGAAATTTCGCCCAAAATCGCATAAGAGCAATTTTAAGCTTCCTGCAATAGTTTTCTGAAATCTCAAGGTTAACTTTTTTGCATTAGTCTTTTAGGCTAACTATCATCATCAATATTTGCAAACTAGACTTCTCAGAATGCTGGAATTTGCAGTCGTACTTCTGAAAACTGGTAGTTTACATCTACTCATGCGAGAACAGCAAACATCGTATTGGTAAAGCATGAAAATTTTCTTTCTGGGCTTCTGAGAAAAAAATATAGTACGACATAAGAGAATGTCTACTGTGCACGATTCGATTCGCGCAAGAGTGGAAGATCCGATAAGAATTTTTTGAACGAAGATGAACATTTTTTGAATTTTCTGGCATTAGAAACTTCTTGGATTTCGGCATGTAACTCACGGTGCATTGGAGCTGGTGCAAACGCTTACAATCCATCTTACAAATTGCTTTTCTCTATCGAATTGTTTCCCCCCATCCTAATCAGAAATAAGAAATATATGCATTTGAAGTAAAAATTCAAAGACAGCCTATTTGAACGTTTGCACCAACTTTGATCCATGCGAATTTCAGAGCCAGAAGCAAGAAAGCTCCAAGTGTTTGAAAAATCAGAAAAATCGTGTCAAGAAATCCAACTGCTTCTTTACTCGCTTAGCATACGCACTGCACATGAGCCTTCCATATGAAAAGTTGCTGTATTAATTCGTTGGCGCCGAAAACAAGAAAATGAGAATTTTTATACTCCTACCAATGCAATACTGAGCTGTTCCCACATGTAGCTGTATCTACAAATTTTTAGAAGTACAAACTTGACTTTTCAAACACCTAAAAGGTAGTATATTGAATCTGACAACAAGTTTCAGTAAGGAGATCTGACTTCAAAGATGCGGAAGTTAGCTCTTGTGGGAAGAAATTTACGACTGTACTTCCTTCAGTGCACTTACTAGTGTGGAAACGAAAAAAAAAACAACAACTTTATATTACTTTGTTCCGAAAGTTTTGAGTTTTATCTGATGACCAGGGGAATCTCGTATAACAAAGACCTGAATGCAAGTTTGAAATTTATAAATTGATTCACTTTTCCTTCCTTTTTAGGTGGTCTCATTTCCGGGCCACATTCTTTCGAAAATTTCTTAATAGCTACCAAACTTCTGCACCCATCCTTCGATCCGTTCAAAGTCTTGCGAATTTTCAGCCTCACTCTAGATTTTGAGAAGAATAGGCATGATACAAGTACGAAATTCCGGACTACGAGGTGCGTTTATATTCTCCTGATCCTGACTTGCTGTTTAAAGCCTTAGAAAATCATATATGGAGACCTCGTTTTGAAAAACTTGATCTATGTAATCTAGAATGTGCGTAATGAAGCCAAAGGGTTACTGTATGTAAAAGCTGCCTGCGCTTTCTCATCTCAGTGGACCCTGGCGTCAAGATCTAAGGAAGCCTAGATCAGAGAGGAAATGCAGCTGTCAAAAAGAGGATAAAAAAGTGAGCTGAACGATATCCAACTCGTTTGTCTTTCTCTGAGTTTGCCTAATGAAAGAACCACATGACTTTCGGTGCGACCTAATTTATAAATGTTTGGTAGGAATGTACGTGTGTAAGCAGATGAAATTAGTGAAATTTCCCGACGGAGTTCTTTTTTTTAGACATTTGGTTCTTTGAAGTTTTTGGCTGCAAATTTCGCGTGGATCAAAGTATGATTTAGCTTGCACAATTTTTTTCGAACTTACTCTGCTCTATCGAGAAGTATTCGGTGAATGCTTAAAATACAGAAAAAAAACAACTTATTACGGTATGAAGTCATCCTGGTATAAAACTTATGTACATATTGTTCACTTTTGGAACGCAGTAGGCCACTTTAGAAGTCCTCTATCGCTTATACCTGTTTGCTACCTTTCAGAAATAAAATCTGAATGATTTGGAACGTGCATGAAAAGAAAAACTAGTGCTCTTTCAAATGTGTACCCAGTAGGTTCGAAATACGGTTTTCTTAGCAAATCTTCTTATTTAATCGATAACTTGATTTATTGCGATCAGGCACTGCCTTGAGGTGTTCCTAATTTCGCACATAATCTGGAGAGGAGAACGAAGTGCAAAAGAACATGATGACTTTCTTGTCTTAGGAAAATTCTTACTACCGAATTTTGGTGCAATCAAGCGAATAACTCTAAAGTGCCGTAGCACACAAGTTTTAAGCACAAAGTTCAGTACCGTACCCGCTTTCAAGTGTGAGACTACCAAAAAATGCTAACAATTTGGTCACTGGAAGTTGGCGGTATATCGAAATCTATGAGCTCTTGATGCACTTACGATCACAAAATCAAATCTGTACTTGTTTAAATCCACAAAGATCAGTGATCGCTTTTAAAAGTGAGATACAATTGTTTACAAAGGCTGATGAATTGCTAAGAGGAATTTGAGTGCGTCATCAAGAAGTGAACTTTCACCGTAGTTACAATTACAGGTTGCAAATTGCGATAGTTATTGTATTTTATACAACGGTGGCGACCAGAAGTTCTTATAACTAACTTTGTTCTATCGAAAAGTACTTTGGTGCCTATTTTCGGTGTAGAACTTGACTTGTTGTGATATGAAGACACTTTGTGGAACACCTATGTAACATAATGCATA